GCCGGGCTCGGCGGCGGCCGCCACCCATCCGTCCCCCCCGGGTGGCCGGTGCCCCGGGCGGGGAGCGGGGGGAGCCCTGCGGGTTGCGGGAGGGCGGCTCTGCCCGGCTCCCAGTCGCCACGGTTGCCCGGGGTCCGGCTGTCATCGCCCCCCGACGGCTCCGGGACGGATCCTGCTCCCGTCGCTCTGCGGGAAGGGGGGGGAACCGGCACTTTCCGATCCCGGGGTGCGTTTGGAGGTGCGGCAGCCTGGGGCTTCTCCTTCCTCCCCCTGGGGGTGCCCCGGTGGCGCTGGGCGTTAGCCCCGGTCCCGGAGAACCGGCTGAGGTCAGCGGGGCTGGCAGGCGGCCGGCGGGGCGGGTGCGGGCGTCTGGGGTGCGGGGATGCGGGATGCGGGGGGGAATGGGGGTAGTGGGGTACCCAGCAGAGCCGGGGCTACCAGCCCGTGGGTTGTGGTTGCCCTTCACCGCCTGGCTCGCCCCACGGCAGGGACGCGTCTGGCTGCTTCTGGCCAGAGATTCCCGGGTGGAAAAGATGTCGGAAGGCGTGGATCTGTCCTTCCTGTCCGAGGTGGAGAGGGATCTGATCCTGCAGGTCCTGCAGCGCGATGAGGAGCTGCGCAAAGCAGAGGAGAGGAGAATCAGGTGGGAGCCCGGGCAGGGGGCTGGGGTCTTGGCTTTGCTCTAGAAGCAGCCGGAGAGGGGTGAGGGTGCGGGTGGTGGGGCTGGGGTGGCCGTGGGGTCTCAGGGTGGCTCTGATGGCTCCTGGTGTTGGTGTCCAAGCAGACGTCTGAAGAACGAGCTGCTGGAGATCCGGCGCAAGGGGGCCAAACGTGGCAGCCAGCGCTACAGCGAGCGGACCTGCGCCCGCTGCCAGCAGAGCCTGGGCCGCATCAGCCCCAAGGCCAACACTTGCCGGGGCTGCAACCACTTGGTGTGCCGGGACTGCCGGGCCTACGGCCCAAACAGCTCCTGGCGCTGCAAAGTCTGCTCCAAGGAGGCGTGAGTACCTTGGGGACAAGTGGCAGGGACCTTCTACACGCTCCTCCCGTCCCCTCCCTCTTCCCAACCTTTCCTAGCCCAGCTGGTCTTCTTCAGAGCAGGGATGCTGTGGCTTCCTAGGGTGGGCACCCATGGTTGGGTGATGGAGGACTGGGTCGTGCCCTACTCTTGGGTCTTCTTCATGCCCATCCTGCTCCTTTTCCGACATTACTTGATTCTGGCATCCCCCCACACCCCTTGCACAGCCTGTGCACCCCAGTTTTCCACCCTCTTGGCCTCCCCTGTCCTACAAACCCCATTTCACTTGGGATGTAGCTGGGCCCGTGGTCTCGTCTCTGCCCAGCCACCTGGTGAATGTGTCTATGGTGTCCATGTTCTCCTTGGCCATGGTAGCACCGAGGGTGGCTGTGGGGCAGAGGGAGCCCCCCGTTGCCCCTCACTGCCCACCACTGCCCTGTAGTGAGCTGAAGAAGACGACGGGGGACTGGTTCTACGACCAGAGGGTCAACCGCTTTGCCAACCGGCTGGGCAGCGACATGGTGCGTCTGTCCCTGCGGCACAGGTCGGCAGGTAGGGGAGCTGCACCGATGCCCTCTCCCCTAGCCCATCCCACCTGGATGCTCCAGCTTTCCCTGGCACTCCTCTGCCCCGTGCTGAGTGGGCTGGGGGCAGCTCCTGCCCCACCAGTGGCCTTGGAGCGATGGTCCTCCTCATGCCTCTCTCCTTCCAGCCAGCAAAAGAGAGACTGTGGGACAAACCCTCCTCCAGAAAGCCCAGCTCGGCGAGTCCAAAAGCTCCTCCCCAGCCCGGCAGCAGAGCCCCCCTGCACCCCGAGAAGGGTCCAGGTAAGGATCCCTGCTGTCCCCTCTGCTCTAGGTGCCAGCTCTCATCTTCTGCAGGTTTGGGAGGGACGCTGCCGCCCTGTTTGGATCCTTGGTGGCGCAGAAGCTCTCTCTCCAACCAGCCTCCTCGCCAAACAGGACATACCTGTGGTTTTGTTTGTCTGCAGTTTGTTTCCAGATGCCTCAGACCCTCGGGATGGGAAAAGCGACACGGAGTCCATGGAAAACATGAGCCTGGATGGCCACAAACCTAGTCCTGCTGGCACCAGGGGCAGGTGAGGGGCTTCCTGGGTGGGTTGTCCTTGGCAAGGCTGGCTTGGCAAAGGATGAGGACCTTGTGTCAAGCGCTTTTTTCTCGGTATAGCGAGGGGGAGCTGGTTCCTCTGGGCTGAAACCTGTCCCTAGGCAGGCAGGTCCTCTGCTCCCCAGGCTGGGGTGCTCTGGGGAGCTTGTGGGGAGATGGCACTTCCCAGCCAGCGCTTGCTCTCCCAGCCGTGCTCTTGGCTGAGGACAGACCTTTCTGTGTCCCCTGCAGGAGTAACTCCCTGGAGCGAGCTGCCCCTCTCAGAGATGGAAAACAGGTCTCTGTGCCGGCAGGACCTGCCACCTCCAGCATGACCCTCCCTCTCCGCTCCAAAACCCAGCCCTCTGACGGACGGGTACGTGCTGCTGCTCCACTGGGCTCAGCCCTGGCCTGGGACGTGGGGCTGGGACCCCCCGTGGGGTGCCCGCTCTGCCCTCCTCTGAAGGGACCCTTCCTCCCCAGGCTGCCACCGCGGGAAGCCGCAGCAGTGCCCTGGTCGACGAGCACGAAACCATCTTCAAGAAGAATCCCCGGCGGGTGGTGCGGCCTGCGGGTGAGCACTCATGGGTGCGGGGGGTTTTGGGTGCCATTTTCAGCTGGGTAGGGAAGAGTGTGGCCAGGAGGTGGAGGGAGGTCATTCTCCCCCTCTGCTCTGCACTGGGGAGGCCACAACTGGAATCCTGCCTCCAGTGCTGGGATCCCTAGATCAAGAGGGACAGTGAATTGCTGGAGACAGTCCAGTGAAGGGCAACAAAGATGATTAAGGGATTGGAGCATCTCCCTTACGAGGAAAGGCTCAAAGAGCTGGGGCTCTTTAGCCTGGAGAAGAGAAGGCTGAGGGGAGACCTTATCTACATTTAAAAGTATCTAAAGGGTGGGCTGAAGTATGATGGAGCCAGACTCTTTTCAGTGGTTTCCAGTGATAGGAGGAGGGGCAACGGGCACAAGCTGGACCATGGGAAGTTCCACTCAAATACAAGGAAGAACTTATTTGGGGTGAGGGTGGCAGAGCCCTGGAACAGGCTGCTCAGGGAGGGTGTGGAGTCCCCTTCTCTGGAGATCTTCAAGCCCCGCCTGGATGCCATCCTGAGTGATGTGCTCTGGGCAACCCTGCTTTGGCAGGGGGGTTGGACTAGATGATCTCTAGAGGTCCCTTTCAACTCTAACAATTCTGTGATTCCATGACATGGCAGGGGGTGGGCAGCTGGTTCGCCCTGGGCTGTGGTGGGCTCTTGGTGCAGATGGCAGAGGCTGGGGAGGGAGAGGGGGAACAGCAGGGCTCTGCCAGTCCTGCACTGTGCCACCATCTCTCATGCAGATTACACCAAGTCGGTGATCGACCTGCGCCCGGAGGACTTCGTAGGGGATGGTGGCTCCTTGGGGGACAGGAGCAAGTCAGTCCCCGGCCTCAACACGGAGCTGGTGAGACCCTCGGCGTGCCGCTGAGCTGGCTACCCAGGTGGAGGGTCTGGCTACCTGGCTGGCTGTGCCCTGCCGCTCCCCACGCAGGTGGCTTGTCTCTCTCCTCGCAGGAGGAGGAGGAGGAGGACATTGATAACCTGGTGGAGATCCATCGGCAGAGGGTGGCCCGGGGCAGCATGCGCAGTGGCACCTCCTCGGTGAGTCCCCGTGGCCCCTGTGCTCTGCTCTGCAGGGAAAAATGATGGGTGGGGTGGGAGGGAGGGAGGGTGGGCAACTCCTGGGGTGAGGGGGCTTCCTCCCCTTCAAGGCCATCAAAAAGCAGAGCCCCAGCTTTCTTCTAGGGAGCCTGCATGTGGGTGGGAGGCACTGGGTGGCCGTCCCCAGCCGCAGAGCGGGTGCGAGGGGCTGTGCCGTGGTGAGTAGCCTCGCTGAGGATGAAGAGGGACCATCAAGTGATCTTAGATTCATCTAGGTTGGAAGGGACCTGATGCTCCCCCCAGCTCAGCCCTGCTGGTGTCTTCCAGAGCACGCTGGGGAGCATGGTCAGCATTTACAGCGAGGCGGGCGACTTCGGCAACGTGGCGGTCACCGGGGGAATCTCCTTCTCCCTGAGCTACGAGGAGAAGACACAGACCTTGTTCATTCACGTGAAGGAGTGTCGCCAGCTGGCCTACGGGGACGAGGGCAAGAAGCGCTCCAACCCGTGAGACCTGGGGACACACACACACACGATGGCTGGTGGGGTTGTGGGAGCTGTAAGTGGGGGTGGTTTGGTGAGGCAGGAGGCCTGGGCTTGCCCTAGAGGGGACATGGGGGGCTAGCTGTGGGGAGATGGGTGAAATGTTGCCTGCTCCTCCCTTCAGGTACGTGAAGACCTACCTCCTGCCCGACAAGTCCCGGCAAGGGAAGCGCAAGACGACCATCAAACGCAACACCATCAACCCCCTGTACAATGAGCTGCTGAAGGTGGGCAGGGGTGGGCTGGTGGGGCCGGGCAGGCACTCGGCCCTGGGGATGCTGCTGGAACAAACCCGGGGAGGGGTGGGCTCCGAGCCCTGAGGTGGGGGCTCTGCAGAGGCCCCGTGTCCAGACAGGGCACCCTACAAGCTGGAAAACCCCACTCCCAGGCTGTGGTGTTGTGGTTTTGGCCGAATTTACCAAAACCAGACTGGCAGATGGCCCTCTCCCCCGCAAAAAAAGAGAGGAGAGGAAGAGATAAGGAAGATAAGCCCTGGTGGGACTGGGGTGCCAAGCCCTGGTGGGGCTGGAGTGCCAAGTCCTGGGTGCCGTGTTGGGGTGCACAGCTGTAGATGTGAACGTGTGTCACAGCCCATGTTCCTGGCTTCTCTGGCACCCCCCAGAGCTGGGGCCTTCTTATCCTGGATGTTGCTTTCCATGGAGAAGGCTCCTGGGCCACTGCAGGCAGGTTACAGCAGCAGGAGGGTGGGCAGCATGGCTGCAGAGGCAGAGATAAGGCAGTTCTGGGCCCCAGGGCAGAAGCACTTGGTGCTGCCCTTCACAGCCCCCACTGTGACCACTGTGGTGGCGGGAAGGGCTGGCTCCGTCCCCAGGCCAGCAGCACATCGCTGAGGCCAAGTGCCCTCTGGATGGGAGGGAGATGGGAACTGTGGTTGTGTTTCCAGACTCCCACAGCCCTGTGTTTGCTGAGCTCTCTCCCTCTGACCACCTGAGGCTCGCTGGGCTGGCAGAGCTTCGCTTGTGGTGGGACTGGGTGGGGTGGCCGGCTGCCACGAGTCCTAGCCCTGGCTCTGTGTGGGCTCTGAGGACCGCTTGCCTGGAGAGCACGGGCTCCTGCACCACTGCCCCCAGGGCTTTGAGGTTTCAGCAGGCTTGGAAAGGAAGAGAGTCTCCTGCGTGCGTCCATTGCTCCTCAAACCTGCCTCCTCTCCTGCTGGAGAGTTGTGGTGGATGGTGGAAACCAAGCCCATCCCCTGCCTGGCGCTGCCTGCTCACTGGTGGTTTTCCCTTCTCTCTTCTTAGTACGAGATCAGCAAGTCCCTCCTGCTTGCGAGGACGCTGCAGTTCTCCGTCTGGCACCACGACCGCTTTGGCCGCAACACCTTCCTGGGGGAGGTGGAGGTCCCGCTGGACGCCTGGAACTTCGAGAGCCACCTGGAGGAGTTTCTGCCCCTGCACGGCAAGGTGCTGGCCCTGCCACCCCAGCCCTGCTGCCCGCAGCACCCTCCCTTGTCCTCGGGGGTGGCCCTCGTGGGCAGAGGGGCACAGAGACCTCATCTGAGAGCTGCTCAAAAGCTTGTGCCGAGTCAGATCTTTGGAGAAAAGAAGACCCCAGAAGCAGATACCAGGGCTGTCTTAGTGAAAAAAGGGCAGATATTCTGTCTTGAGCCTTGCTTCCCTACGAAGTCCCCTTTGGGATGCAGTGGGACATGTCTCTGCCCCCGTCAGGTGTTTTCATTCTGCTTGCTCCATTGCTCCCAGAGAGCAGATCTTCCCAGTTCCCGGCCGGGAGTGATTGGAGCCAAATTCAGGGAAACAAATGGGGGAAATTGGCTGGGACATCCTGCTGCAGAGCGGCCAGTGAGGGCCTTTGTGCAGCTTGATGGCAACAGCAGATGCTGTTGCTGATGGACTGAAACTTAGTCCAAACTTAGAGCCAAAGTGGGATCCTGAAGGGATCCTGTCTGAGTCTGACCTGGTGATGCTGGGGAGGGTCTGCAGGCTTTTGTGCTGGCTAAACCAGCTCTAGGAGAAGCCAAGCCCTTTGGCCCAGCATGGGGAGGTGCTGCTTGCAAGACCAGGTCATCACCATGTCCGCTTTGGCCTCTTTAGCAGTGTTTGATAAGTCTTGTTGCTTTGCAGATCGGGGCGGATGCTGCTGGTCTCCACCAGTACAAGGGGGAGCTGGTCGTCTCCATGAAGTACATCCCGTCTTCCAAGCACCCTGGAGCTGGGAACGGCAGGAAGGGTGAGTGCTGGAGCTCCAGGATCTCTGTGTAGCCTCTGGGACCTGCTCGTGGCCACACAAGCTGGGTCTGGGTGGGTTTCTTGGGTGGTGCCACTGCAGCCTTCTGCTCTGCAGCTCTGGGTTGGGGCAGACCTGGCTGTCCTCGGGCTGGCTGAGTGGTCCCAGTGCTCTCCTAGGGCTGGACTAGGCTGGACCATCGGGTCCCGTGTGGAGCAATTGTCTGCTGTAACCTTAGCAGGTAGGGCCAGCAAGGGAAGAGTCAGGAGAAGATACCAGCTGGGGACCGGTACCTGCCTCTGCCATGAAAGCTGTTCAGCAGGACCCTTCCAGAAGTCAGCAGTGCTGGAAATTAAGGTTGATTAATTCTTGCCTTGTTGCGTTTTTCCCAGGCAAAACAGGGGAAGGCGGCGAGCTCCAGGTCTGGATCAAAGAAGCCAAGAACCTCACGGCTGCCAAATCCGGGGGGACCTCAGACAGCTTCGTCAAGGGGTGAGTGTGGATCCCAGGGTGGTTGGACTGACCTCCCTGTCTGTGTCCCAGAGCCACCCTGGGGAGGGACAGGTCTCTCTGCTAGCTGCTCTCTGTGGTACCATGAACGTCACTGTCTGCCCCTCTCTGCCTGGAGATGAGATGCTCCTGATGCAAACGCTCTCCTGGGTTTTGGCTGGCTGAGAGGGCACAGTGTGGGATCCTCCAGCTGCCATCAAATTGTCTTCCCCGAGGTGCCCAAGCCACGGGGCAGCCTGGCTGGGGGTGAGCAGGCTGTGGTCCTTGCCCTCTCCTTTTCTTAGACCACCTGCAGTCTGCTGAGTGGAGTTGGTGCAGAGACCCAGCCCCTTGCAGACCATCCTGGGGAAGGTGGGGCTCCAGCCCAGGTCCTGGGGTGCTGAGGTGCCCCAGCCCGTGGGGCAGATGGCGGTTGCACACGTGGCCCTAACCCAAGGGGCTGCTTCCCCCAGCTACCTCCTGCCCCACAAAAACAAAGCCTCCAAGCGGAAGACGCCGGTGGTGAAGAAGACCCTGAACCCTCATTACAACCACACCTTCGTCTACAACGGCATCAACCCTGAGGACCTGCAGCACATCTGCCTGGAGCTGACGGTCTGGGACCGGGAGCCACTCTCCAGCAACGACTTCCTCGGGGGTGTCCGCCTGGGGGTGGGCAATGGTGAGGAGCCCTTGGGGTCCCAGCAAAGCCTGGGGACAAGCAGCCTTGCTTGGGGGCTGCCTGGGTGAGGGCAGGAGGCTGCTCCAGCAGTGAGTGACTTCTGCCCGCGTCCATCCTTTCTCCCAGGCATGAGCAACGGGCAGGCTGTGGACTGGATGGACTCCACGGGTGAGGAGCTGAACCTGTGGCAGAAGATGCGTCAGTACCCAGGCTCCTGGGCCGAGGGGACGCTCCAGCTCCGCTCCACCATGGCCAAGCTGAGGCCCTAAGCTCCAGCCCTGGCACCGGGGCTCGCTGCTCGGGAGCCACCCTTCCCGCGTGGCTCTGCAAGGCTGACACACCTGGTTATTATTTTATTTTGCTTATACTTTAATAAACATGACTCTCCTTGAAACAGGCTGGGGCAGAAAGTCTTCTTGGCCCAGCTTCGTTTGAAGGGTTTTCCTTTTGTCTTAGGCTCTGCACCAAATTTCAGGCTGAACCGGAGTCCTTGTGGGCCCTCCCTTTTTCCCCTCCTCGGGCAAAATGCTTTGAAATGTGGTTGGTTTTTTTTTTTTCCTTCTTTCCATTCGTCTTCCTCCCAACCCTTCTGTTCCACAGTCTTGCTCCCTCCTCCCTCCTTCTTTTCCCCGCTCTCCTCCCGCAGGATGCTGCCAGCTCCGGGACGGAGGCAGCCCTGGGTGTGGGGCTGGGATGGAGCCGTGTGGGGTCATCCTTGGGGGGCTGGGGGTCCCCAGGAAGGATGCATTTCCCGGGCCTCTCTGCGACACACCTTCTGCCAGCGCTGACTTTTATACAAATGTTTTTATTTTGAGTTAAGGTTCTACTGCCAAAGCAGTTTCCAGGAGGGGTGCCCCGTGGCTGGTGGAAGGGGAAGGGAGGGGTAGATGGGAGCTGGAGCTGAGCTACTGGTTTTGCTGAGCTTTTACTGGAGGCTTTCTGGCTGCCCTGGGTGGGGAGGGAAGGGGGTTCAGGTTGTGGGGGGGGGGGGTGAGGAGGGCTGTGGGGAGGGTGAAGCTGCTGCATTAGAGGCTGTCGCCCTGCCCTGTCCACTCTCCTCTGCTCTGGCACCCCAGTTGCCTGGGTCCCCATGTCCCCCTTGACCTGAAGGGGGGCACTCAGATGTCTCCCACCATGGTCCTGGCTGGGCTGAGCCATCCCACCCCACAGCTGGACACTGCTGCTGGGCAGGGGGGACGCTGCCGGCACGTGGCCCCTGTCCCCATCCCCTGGAGGTCCTCGGCACCCTAGTTCTCCTCTACAGTGGGCGACTAGAAAAGCAGAAAGGAATGTGTCCGTCCCCCGAGGCCAGCGGTGGTGGAGCGTAGAGGGGTTGGGGGTCTCCCCCAACACTGCCCTCCTCACTCGCAGGGGTCCCCGCTCTGCGCCCGCCGTGCCGCCTCCCGCTCGCTCAGCAGGTAGGTGTCGATGAAGAGGAAGAGCTCGTCGGGGCTGATGGGGGAGATGTAGCGCTCCCGGTCGATGCCATCCTTGTCCAGCAGCACGGCGTTGAAGTGGGAGCGGGTGAGGTGCAGGAACTGCCTGGGGGGACAAGGGGGAGACGCCGCTCAGGGCTTGTGGGGGTGGGCTGTGGTTGGGGTTGAGCCTGCCCAACCCAGGACAACCGCGCTCAGGTCCTCCTGGGGTGGTGGCGCCCATCTCTTCACAGAATCACAGAATCTTCTAGGTTGGAAGGGACCTTAAAGATCATCTTGTCCAACTGTCAACCTAACTGACAAAAATAGACACCCACACAACAAACAAGGAGCATCATCACTAAACCATACCTCCCAGCACCACATCAACCCGTCTTTTGAACACCTCCAGGGATGGTGCCTCTACCCCTTCCCTGGGCAGCCCATTCCAATACCTGATAACCCTTTCAGTGAAAAAATTTTTCCTAATATCCAGCCTGAACCTCCCCTGGCGCAACTTCAAGCCATTTCCTCGTCCTGTTGCCTGTGACTTGAGAAAAGAGACCGACCCCCACCTCTCTACACTCTCCTTTCAGGTAGTTGTAGAGAGCAATAAGGTCTCCCCTCAGCCTCCTCTTCTCCAGGCTGAATAACCTCAGCTCCCTCAGCCTCTCCTCATAAGACTTATTCTCCCGCCCCCTCACCATCTTTGTCGCCATTCTCTGGACCTGCTCCAGCACCTCAATGTCTTTTTTATGGTAGGGGGCCCAAAACTGGACACAGTACTCAAGGTGAGGCCTCACCAGTGCCGAGTACAGGGGGACAATCACCTCTCGGGCCCTACTCCCCACACTGTTCCTGATACAGGCTGGGACGGTCTGGGGATGCTGTGTTCAGAATTTCTGGGGGTGTCCCCACATCGCACATGAAGCCAGCTGCAACCTCCCCCTTCATTGTCCCCAGATGTGTCCCCATCCCTTGCACACCACCCTGACTCTGTAGGACAGCCCCCCACCTCCTGTCCCATCCCTTCTCCTTACCTGAGCTCCTCGATGATGCCAAGGGAGAGCTGGTGCTCCCGGATGCGTCCCACCTCCCGTGGGGGCTGCCCCACCAGCTCGACGGTGGTGACGTGTCGCAGGTCCAGCCCGCAGGCAGCTTGCTGTGGACAAGGAGGGGGGTGGTGGTGAGAGGGTTCTGGGGGTAGAGGTGGGAAAAGTGGGGGGCGGGCAGGCAGTGTCCTCACCTGCAGCATGGAGATCTGCATCTTGTAGTAGCGGTTAGAGGGGTCGGGGGCTGAGATGATGAAGAGGCGGCGTTTCTCCTGGAACTGATCTAGCAGGCTGGCAGCCGAGCTCACAGCCGTGTTGATCTGCATGGCTGGGGTGAAAGTAGGGGGGCGGGTGAAAGTAGGGGGGGGACGTGCAAGGAGGTGACATTTTGCCTTTCCTCTCCCCACCACCACCTTCCACACACCCATCACCCCTTTCCATCCCACCAGATGGCAGGTCCTCCCCTGCCCCACACCGCTTACGTGCGCAGAAGGGTTGGGAGCCCGTCCACTGCTGGGTGGACTGGCAGACCCTCAGGGAGGTCCCCTGCCGCTCGTACCCCCCCTCGCACAGGTACTCGCAGGTGGCACCGTAGTTGTTGCCGTCGGAGGTGCAGGAGAGGTAGCTGTTCTGCGGGGGCTTCAGGACGGGGCAGCGCCTCACTGAGAATTTGGGAGATCGAGGAGGGGAGGCTGGGTGAGGGATGGAGGCCATGGGGCATGGAGATGGGGGTCGGGGACAGCCAGCAGCCCCAGGGCTTCACCTTGGACGCGGACGGTGAACTTGCAGCTGGCTCGGTTGTAGGCCTGGTCGTGGGCCGTGTAGCGGATGACGTGCTCCCCCTCGGGGAATTCGGAGCCGGGCTCCGGGCCCCGCAGCATCACCCTGTGCCCAGCAAAGGGGTGTCTCCATCAGGGCTCTGGGAGGGGACACCCGGCACGGACCTCCCCCAGCGCCTCTGCCCTGACCTCTTGATGATGCCATCAGCGGAGTCCTTCACCCGGGGGGGGTCCCAGTAGACGGTGGCCGTCAGCTTGCCTGGCTCGGCTATCCGCTCCCGGGAGTCCGGGCAACGGATCTTGGGGGGCTCCAGATCTGCCCAGGGGGAGGAAAGGGAGTCGGGGAACCTGCGGGTGCCAGGATGGGGCTACGAGAGCCTGGCCCTGGTGCTCAGCCACCCCCCCGGGGATGCTGTGAGCAGCCCGGGCACCCCAGAGCCAGCACAACCTGCTGTAACACCAGCACGACCTGCTGTAACGCCAGCGCTGGGTGCCACCACCCTAAACCCGTGCTTTGGGGCTAAATGGCACCTCAGGGACCAGCAGGGACAGGGGGGCCAGAGCCGGGAGGGCAGGAGCCAGCACCCGGCAGTGGCCAGGATGGAGGTGGGGGTGCCACTCACAGGCACCCCAGGGATGGAGGGTGGTCTCCCAGCGGCGTGGGGCTGGGAGGATGGCGGCAGGGTGGGAATTTACCTACACAGATCGGCTCGGTCCCGCTCCAGCGCCCGTCCTCCATGCAGAGGCGGCTGCGGTCGCCCTCCAGCTGGTAGCCGGGCAGGCAGGTGTAGTGGCAGCGGGAGTCCATCTGCACACCGGCCGAGCACACGTAGGAGCCCCGCGGCACCGCCGGCAGCACGTGGCACCGGATTTCTGGGGACGGGGAGAGAAAGCAAAGAGGGGAGGGAATGGGGCTGCCCGGCCGCGTTAGCGGGCACAGCCCCCGGGACTGGCCACCGGGGATGCGGGCAAGCAGGCGGCTGGGTGAGACTCACGTCGGCAGTACGCCATCCCGGACCAGTGGCGGCTGGGCAAGCACTGGACGGCGCTGGGCCCCACCAGCCGGTAGCCACGGGCACAGCTCAGCTCACAGCGTGTGCCCAGGCTGCTGCGGTAGGTGGCACCCCGGGGCGAGTAGCAGGTGGCCTCTCCACGGTAGATGTTGAGCGTGGCACACCACTGGGGCACTGGGGGAGAGGAAGGAGGTAAGTGGTGGGAGCACCTGGTCCCACCGTGCCTCGGTTTCCCCACAAGGAGCTGAGGGATGGGTTTGGGTTGCCGGTACCTCGGCGGTAGTCCAGGGCGGGCTCAGGGGGGGCTTCTTCCACGTACACTTCATTGGTGTGACTCTCGGCAGCGTAGTAGCCAGACCCTGGGGAGGAGGAAAGAGATGAGGGGGCTCCGTGATGGTTCATCATGCCCGGGGCATGACGTCTCTCCGGGCAGCTGCACCCCCCGGCCCCAAAACATAGAAAAATAGAATGGTTTGGGTTGGAAGGGAACTTAAAGATCATCCAGTTCCACCCCCTGCCCTGGGCAGGGACACCTCCCACCAGACCAGGTTGCTCCAAGCCCCATCCAGCCTGGCCTTGAACCCCTCCAGAGATGGGGCAGCCACAGCTTCTCTGGGCAACCTGGGCCAGGCTCTCACCACCCTCACAGCAAAGAATTTCTTCCCGAGATCTCATCTCAATCTCCCCTCTTTGAGTTTAAAACTGTTCTCCCTTGTCCTATGGCTCTCCTCCCTGATCTAGAGTTCCCTCCCCAGCTTTCCTGGAGCCCCTTTAGGGACTGGAAGGGGCTTTAAGGTCTCCCTGGAGCTTCTCTTCTCCAGGCTGAACAACCACAACTCTCAGCCTGTCCTCACAGCAGAGGTGCTCCAGCCCTTGGAGCATCTCCATGGCCTCCTCTGGACCCTCTCCAACAGATCCATGTCCTTCCTGTGCTGAGGGCTCCAGAGCTGGAGGGGGTACTCCAGGTGGGGTCTCACATCCCAGCAAGCGACCCCATCCCTGGTCAAACCCTCTCCTGCCCTCCCTGGGGCTGCCATCAAGGGTTAAACTGGGCAGACAGAGCCCAGTCCCCAGCTGGCACCAGCCCGCAGACTAAACATGGCCAGCAGCAGCCGTGGTTAGGGCAGGAAACGGGGGCTGGCACCCACCCCCAGCTTCGTGCTGCCGGGAAGTCCTCCTTCCACCCGCTCCCCTGGCACTGTCCTGACCACTGACAGTCCCCAGGGAAAGAAACCAATTCTCTCCTGCCCAAGACGAGGGAGGAGAGGCACGTACTCGGCTGTGGGGGGGCTGGCAGGGATGTACCCCCTCACTCAGGGAGGGATGAAGCTGCTGGAGGAGCCTGGCTGGAGCTGCTGGCCCCACACCACCCATGCTGTGCGCATGGAGCCCTGGCCCCATGGACGGGGCACGGGGACAGCCTTGTGGGTCACCCTCGCCCTGTGCTCCCATGGGCAAGGGACCATGGAGGGAGCCGTGCAGGGGGAGAGGGATGGCTCCTTCCCCTCGGCCGGCCGCGGCATTCCCCAGCACTGAGCTCACGTTTCCGCCGCATTTCCGCAGGCCCCCGCCAGCCATTGCCCCCTCCTCGCCTCCAGCCCACCCCACCGCAGCCCCCACTCCGGCATGGCGGGGATGCTCAGCCCGGGAAGGGACCCCTGGGGCTGCAGCCATCTCCCCCTTCCCTTTGCTCCGGGTTTTGGGAAGGGGATATCCGCCGAGGGCAGTCCAAGCAGCAGCCCCGCCGGCACGGGGAGGAAACTCCATTACAAATCTTTCCCACATGAACTTTACTACAGAGCGACTGGCTCCTCGCGGCTCCCCACAGAGCTTCGTTAAGTCGCCCACTCCTTTCCACAAAGCCTTTGATCCCCACCCTGCCCCGGGGAGCAGAGGGGCTCAGGGCAAGCGCAGGGCTGGCATCTGTGGGGCTGGCGGTGGCCTGGCGAGCAGGGCTGCTTCCCGGGGAAGGGGGAATGTGTGTGGGGGTGGGTTGCTGAGCCCCTGGTGCGCTGTGTTAGATGTGCCATGTTCCCTTTTCGTGCCTTCTCCTTCTCACCTGGGGCCAGCTGCACCGGGCAGGAGCATCCCCATGCTGGCAGCGGGGCAAGGGGATGGGAGCAGGGAAGGGGGAATCCTTCCCCCCAGAAACAGGGCAAGGGCTTTTAATCCTTGACCCGGCTGCCTGGCCGGAGGAGCAGGACGGGGGGGCTGGATCCGAGCATTCCATCCAGGCAAACATCTGCCGGCCGATGGCCCCCGTGGGAAGGAGGCGTCAGCAGGAAAGCTGCGCTCCCGCAGGCAGGGGTGTGATGGAGAGACTGCATTTCTTTTCCTCTCTGGATGCCCCCCCAGCACCCCCCCCCTCCTCTCTGCGCCCCACAGCACCCTCCAGCAGGGACCCCATACCCCGCAGGCACCGATGCTCTCCCCAGCATCACCATACCAGGGGTCTCCTCCCTCCCTCCCTCCCCACCGCAACCCCCCTGGAGGGGAGCAGGACCCTGCAGGCTGCCATCTCCCCCCCCTGAGGGGGTCCCCGCACACCTTAGCACTCACCTTCATGCCACGTGGATGACACCAGCCTGGCGAGGACAACCAGCAGGACGGGGGCTGCCTCCTGTGCCATGCTGGGGGGCCAGCCCCCGTGCCGTGTCGGGTCCGGGGGCGGCCGCGAGCCCCGGCGAGGATGGAGAGGGGCTGGGAACAGGGCGACGCACACCCCCCCCGCGGCGCCTTGTCCCTGCACAAGACAACCCGACCCTCCTGCTTTGTGCTGAGCAAACCTACTTTTCCCCGCTGCTGCCCGTCCCAAACATTCAAAAGCCGTGAGTCAGGCCCAAAACGATGAGATTGTCAAAAAGAAAAAAAAAAAAGTAAATCCCAGGATCACCCGTTTTCCAGTGTACCTCCTGCTTCTCCGAGGCTCTAAAAGGTTGTCAGATTTTTTTTTTTTTTTTTCTATTTTCTTTGCAAGCAGAAGAGCCAGGAGCTTGTTTTGGCCGAGAGGTGAGGGCAGCCGAGCCTGTGCCAGCCCTGCCAGGCTCCGGGAATGGGGGGATCCTGGGGAGACCGAGGACAAAACAGCCGGAGCCAGGACCCTTTTCCCACCTCCTGCAGGAGGGAGGGAGGGAGGGAGAGACCTCGCTGCAGACGGCGGGCTCCGAAACCGCTCCAGAGGCAAGTGCTTCCAGCTGGGGTCTGTTTTCCAGCTGAAGTTCGGCCCCCGCGAGGCAGCGGTAACGAAGCACGTTCGTTAGGACCCGCCGCCCCACATCCCATGGGGTCAGGCAGGAGCTGCCTGGGATTTTGGCTCCAGAGCACAGGACAGCCTGGGCAAGGAGAGCCAAGGGACGAGCCTGGCATGGACAGGTAGGAGAGCTGGCACGGGCCATGGCGGGGGGGGGACATGCTGCCTGAATGCACTAATTATATGGTGGCCAGGTCAGTAAGCACACTAATTATTAACACAGCTGTCCTGAGCAGGAGAGGGCTGCCAGGAGGCCACTGTGAGGGCTGCTTGCTGCAGGGGGACCCCCCCAGCCCCCCGTACCCACCCCTGCAGCCCGGGGACATCCTCAAGGAGGGGACATGCCCATGGTGGCCATGCCATGAGCTGCAGTGTGAGGTGGCTGCCCCGGCTGGTCCTTGCTCTGCTGGGGGGACACCTGGACAGGGAAAGGGGGGGCCCACATTGGGGCTGGGGCTGCATCGCGCAGGGCTGGGGCAGGAGGGTAGGGACTGGGTGGCACAAGGCAGGCGGGAAGTGGCACTGTGTGGGTAGGACGTGGCACAGGGCTCACAGGAGGGGGCATAAGGCAGGCACAGGTGGCACTGCCAGGTGGGACGTGGCATGGGGCAGGCAGAAAGGGGCATGGAGCAGGCGGCAGTGGCACAGAGGAGGCAGGAGGGAACATGGGACAAGCAGAAGGGGCCCGGAGCCAGCAGGAGGGGACATGACACAGGCAGGGGCAGCCGGGTGCAAGCAGGAGGGGACATAACACGGGAAGGGGTGGCCGAGTGGAAGCTGGAGGGGACATGGGACAGGGAGGAGGGGACGTGGGACAGACAGGGGTGGCCCGGAGCCAGCAGGCGGGGACATGGGACAGGCAGGAAGGGACATGGGACAGGCAGGAGGGGACATGACACAGGCAGGAGTGGCCCGGAGCCAGCAGGAGGGGACATGGGACAGGCGGGAGGGGACATGACACAGGCAGGAGTGGCCCGGATCACGTAGGAGCCGCCCCGCCGGGGAGACTCGTCCCACCTTCGGGCGCGCTCGGACATTTCCGTGAGCCCTCGGCCACCTCCGCCACTGCTCGGTAAAGGGGGCGGGGCGGGGCCTGCGCGGGGC